TCTGTACCCCCAACCCCAGAGACAAACCTCACAATGACAAGCATGCCACCTGACACACACCACAGCACAGTCACACAGACACATTCCCAGGCAGCACAGACGGGCTCAAATGTGGGCTCGGGTACAACCCAATCATCTGACCACTCTACAGCCCCTGTTCCTAGCGCCGCAGAGACAACCAAATCTTCCGATATGATTGGGACCCATAAAGCATTCCCCAACTCTAATCAGAGCAGTGGTCAGGGAGGTGGTACCTGTGCTTTGGATGAATATGCAGGCAGTACCGGAGGTTGTGTGTGCAATGACAGCTACTATTCCCACTTGAGTAAGTGCATATAATCCCTTCCAGGAAGTTGCTGTCTGCTGCTGCTGTTTCTCCTTGTTCTTCTTCTCTCCCTCTTCCTCCTTTTCTTTTTAAAGTATCTCCTTTGTCTTAATTTTATGTGTATGGATAACACGGAGTAACATGAATAACTCATGTGAATAAACCAGATAAAAGGCTGGAGCTAGAAAGGTCACAGAAGTCTGAGAAGGCCCATTCGAACCCTGTCCAAAGGTTGGTAAGGCATTAGCATGAAATGAATGAGGAACCCACCAGAAGTGATGTCTCATGAGAGGGTAGGTGGCTGTGCAGATTAGACTATCTACCCTGCTCCGGCTCCTGGGACCTGAGCTGCTGTCCAGATACTGAGGGGGATTACAGACATGCGTGGCATGTCTATGTCTGGTTTTGTGCGTGTGCACACACACACATACCCTAGGGTCTAGCTTCCTGCTTAGCATTGGAGAAGAATTGGAGAATAAGCAAATTAACTTTCCTAAGACCACTCTTTGCCAGTTACATTTCACTGAATTAAAATAACGATTTCACTGAGGTCCTGGCCACACTCCCCAGTTCCCTGATGACCTAAAACTGAAATTGAGGTGTAGCAGGAGCCACCTCCTTTTATAACTCTTACCTCTCCAGCTCTGCTTGTTCTGTCCACTGGCCCAACTCTCAGTCCACCTGACTCAGGACAGGAACCTCATCTCTCAAGTTTGTTGATGAGTTGGGGTCTCCTAGTCGAGAACTGGCCTGGTCACTGAAGATGACCTAATGCTCCTGACCCTCTGCCTCTGCCTCCTAAATTTGGGGATTAAAGGTGTCTGCCATCATACACTATTTACGTGGCACTGGGTATCAAATTATGGCAGGCAAGCAAATGGGCTAACAAAGCTACATTCCCAGCCCCCCACATTAGCTTTGAGGCACTGGAGGTTACTCTCGGAAACGAGATTCTAAGGACCTGTGAGGGCCAGGAGTCAGAATCCCATAACTCAAGAGATGATTCTTGGGATCCACATGTGTGAGAATCTGTATTTAAATATATTTAATTTTTCCTGGTGTTTCAAGACAAGTTTCTGTGTGTAGCCCCTGGCTATCCTGGAACTTGCTCTGTAGACCAGGCTGTCCTCAAGTTCACAGAAATATGCCTGTCTCTGTCTCCTGAGTGCTGGAATTAAAGACATGCACTACCGTGCCCAGATATGTTTACAATTTTAAAAATTATTGGTGTGTTTGCATGGTGTGTGTGTGTGTGTGTGTGTGTTAGGGAGCACACATGCCATGGTGTACATATGGAGGTCAGAGGACAACTTTGTGAAGTCAGATTGCCCTTTCCACTTCATGTGGGCTCTGAGACTTGAACTCAGGTCGACATCCTTCCAGGATCCTCTGGAGACCCCCACCTCTGTCTCTTCTTCCCCTGCAGAACTATCCGGAGAGATAGCGACCCTGCGCTGCAGGCCACAGGACATTGAGGTGTCTCTCAGGAGCTGCTTCCTGAAGACTCAACGCTGGGTCCTGAAGCAAGATACCTTCAAGAAGTGTTTCAGTATCAATAAGACAGAAGAGGGTCATCGGGTCCAGGTCTTTCAGTTGGAGAAGAAGGAGGGAACATGTGGACTCCACATCTCTGTAAGCTGAAGGGGGATTTTAGAAGAAGGGGAAAGATGTGGGCGGGGCTTGGACGGCTATGGGAGGGGCTGGGAAGGCTGTCAGGCGGGGCTAGGAAAGGAGAGATCGAGTAACCCTAGACTTTGGTGGACTCAAATCTTTGCCATCAGACCATCCCAGATGAAGAAAAAAGAACACGCTGTCTCCAGACTGGGAATTCCTTTATACGTGCTGTTTGCTGAATTGGGTTATTGATTGGTTCCCAAACTGTCGGCCATGAAACACTTTAAAATCGTTAACTACAAGCAGTGGGTTATTGATTTCTGGCCAGCTGCCAGGTCTATCAAATAATTTTTAATAGTTCTAATCTTGAGAGGTTTTCACCATAGACAAGTAATCAAAGGCTAAGAGAACTTACGGTATTTTTTCAAATTGCAGTTTGAACTTGAGGTAATCCTCCTGCATCAGCCTCCTGAGTCCTGGGATTACATGCTTGCACCAGCACTCAGAGATTAGTTTCGTAAACAAAGCATAACTCACATAAATAATAGAATGCCCCCAAACGACAACAGAGACCCTAAAGCCCCTGTCAGAACTCAGCTCCTCCCCTCTTTCCTTCTTCTGGTTTTTGTTTTTTCTGGTGGCGGAGACTCAATGTGTGCTAGACAAATACTCTACCACTAAGATACATCCCCCAACCCTAAGAGCTAGAATTCTTTTTAAAATATTCTTTTTGAGACGCCATCTTACTATTTACCCTTGGCTGGTGTAGAACTTACTAGGTAGAGCAGGCTAGCCTGAAATTCACCAAAATCCATCCACCTCCACCTCCCAGTGCTGAGATTAAAGATGTACCACACCTTGCTCAGACTTAAAAAAATTTTTTTTTTTTGAGAGGGGTCTTTCTATGTGGTCCTGGGTGTCCTGAAACTCTCTATGTAGACCAGGCTGGCCTTTGTCTCCCAAATGATAGGATTTAAGACATATACTGTTACACCAACTCATAATTCTTTCTTTAAAAAAGATTTATTTATATGAGTACACTGTCACTGTCTTCAGACACACCAGAAGAGGGCATCAGATTTCATTACAAATGGTTGTGAGCCACCATGTGGTTGCTGGGAACTGAACTCAGGACCTCTGGAAGAGCAGTCAGTGCTCTTAACCGCTGAACCATCTCTCCAGCCCCTCCCTCCCCTTTTAAAAGAAGATTTAGAATTCTTAACAGCTCAGTGGTCCTATTTTTCCCCCCCAAGAGATTCTAAAATGCAAATTGAGACCTATAATCCCAGAATTCAGGAAGCTGAGACCGGAGGATTGCAGAACTCTGGACAGCCTGAGCTACAGAACAAGACGTTCTCCCTGGGTTGGAGAGACAGCTCAGCAGTTAAGAGTTGCAGAGGGCCCAAGTTCTCCCAGCACTAGCACGCTCACAATTGCTTCTGATCCAGAGCCAGAGATCTGCGACCTCTTCTATCCTCTTTAGACACCTGCACTGTCATGCACAAACCCGTAGAGAGATACACAGATGTATGTGATCGTTAAATAAACTCCTAAAAGTTGTCTCTCAGACAACCACCGCCACCACAAAAACAACAATAAAACAACCCGGATGTGGTGATGCTGTGTGCTAATAAGCTCAGCCCTTGGGAAGTGGAGGCAGGAGAGGGTTCGAGGCCATCTTTGGCTATATAGTTGGAGACTAGTTTGGGCTACATGATGCCCTCTCTCAAAACTAAGGTAAGATAAAATGAACATTGACATTTAAGAACCATGGGATAAGAACGTCCTTTGGCAACTCTTAGTTCAATCCTCACCACCATATAAACTGGGCATTGTGACACAAACTGGTAACCCTGGCGCTGGGAGGTGGAGCCAGGTGGGTCAGGGATTCAAGATTATCCTTAGCTACATAGTCACTAAGGCTAGCCTGAGCTACATGAGACTCAGTCTCAAGAAAAGAAACTTAGGAACCATGGCATGGGGATGAAAGTGATGGGCCCCAGAGCCAGAGTGACGTTGGGTTTAGGATTTACTGCTTGCTTTGTACTTACTTCTCTTAACCTTTCTGAGACTTTATTTTACTCATTCCTAAAATAGGGCTGATAACAGAGAGCTGTGTTCAAGTCACGGGACCAGACTCAAAGAGTTGAGCGATTGATTTTATTTTAATAAACAGCATGTAGCTAGAGCAGATGCGTGAAGGTGTTCATCCTAGGGGTTTGTGGGTAATGTCTGCTCCCCCATCTGTCTTTTCTAGACCAACAGCAGCCATGCCCTGCACTCTTTGGATGTGCACCTTGAACAGGCTCTCCCCGGCTCCAACAACACTGGCTCCAGAGTGCTGCGCTTTAGCTGTGCCTATCCACTGGTCGTGAACATCAGCAAGCCTGTCTCCTACCCGGGGGTCTCCATTCCGTGAGTTATGCCCAGTCAACTGTCTCTGCAGCTAGGCCCTGGGCCACCCTGTGACTGGTCTTAAACTCAGAGAGATTGCCTGCTTCTACCTTGTGAGCACTGGGGTCAAAGGCGGTGCCACCGCTGCCTGGCATGTCTGGGCTTTTTAAAATGGGTTATGGGCTTGATCTAAAGTCGTCCTGCTATACGCTATATGGTAACATGCATTACCTCCTACTGTCCCGGTCCTTTATTTTTGGGGCGGGGGGAGAAGGCTGCCAGCACTCAGTGACCTTAAGCGTAAGTTAGAAGGTGAACACGAGAGTCCTTCTTCTCTTTGAGGTTTCATGGTTGGGGGGCTCTCCCTCTTATCCCTCTCTGGATATAGCTCCATCCATGTTCCAAATACCGGCGAGACTGTCATCACCCTGAGCATCTTCACAGACTCGAAACTCTCCACTCCACTTGAGAACAGTACAGCTCCTGTCGGCATGCCTCTCTACGTGGTCCTCAAGTCCACTGACAGTGATCCTGACCGGTTTGCCCTGGTGGCTAATGAGATCTTTGCAAGTACCAACCTCTCCAACACAGAGGCTAAGGCCACTTATCATTTTGTGAAGGAGAGGTAAGAGTCCATCAGGTCCCTGGGCTTGGGCTGTGATTTACTCGGATACTTTTGGACCCTAGCCTGCTTTTTTTATTCGCCTGACATAATTGCTGTCTTGGGGGCTTGCTGCTGAATAAGCTCCCCGTCTCTAGTTCTTTAAGATTCCTCTACACTCTGGCAAACAGACATGGAGAGGAAGTAAAGACTGGTAAATGTTTGCTGAGTGAATATATCCAGCCTCATTTTACAGATGAGTAAACTGAGGCTCAGGGCAAAAGATCTCACAGCCAATAGATGACATTCATTTCTTCTACTCTTCTCCCCTTCCCCAGTTACTGAGGGCCTAGAGTGATGAGATCACAAATAATGCTAACATTTCAGAGTGTCACATGCTGTTACATATGAAGTACATTACACACAATAGCAGCCAGCTAATGATGACGTAGTGTTTGTCTCATGCCAGGCATAGTGTGTGAGTCATATCGGTTCACTGAAATCTTACACACTGTGATGTAGTCATACTTCAAGTCCCACCTTACTCAAGGAGAAACCAAGGCTCAGCTCAGGTGTTGGTAGGTGACTCGCTTTGCTAAGCGTTGAGCACACTAAGAAAAGAGCTGGGTCTCTTAGCCAGGTGTGACGGCCTAGGTCCCAAATCCAAGCACTTGGGAGGCTGAGGCAGGGGAATTACCTAGAGTACCAGGCTAGCCAAGTAAGGCAACAAGACCCTGTTTTAAAAGTAATAATTATTGGGGGCTGGAGAGATGGCTCAGAGATTGAGAGCACTGACTGCTCTTCCAGAGGTCCTGAGTTCAATTCCCAGCAACATGGTAGCTCACAACCATCTGTAATGGGATCTGATGCCCTCTTCTGTCCTGCAGAAATATATGCAGGCAGAACACTAATAAATAAATAAATAAATAAATAAATAAATAAATCTTTAAAATAATAATAATAGCAATAATAATAGTAATAATAAAAGCTGGGCACGGTGGTGCGCGCCTCTAACCCAAGGGCTCAGACAGAAGAGGGAGTTAAAGGCTAGCTTCAGCGACATAGTGAATTCCAGGCCAGCCTGAGTTACATGAGATTGTGACTCAAAATTAGCAAGAGAATGAATATCTCCTTCCTTTTCTATCACGTTTTATGCATGTTGACAGTAGTCTTCCTAGAAGCCTAGTGGATTATTCATCCATTTGCGGATCACAAAACAACCCCATGAAGTGTTGTCTCCTCCACTGTGCAGATGAGAGAGCAGAAGGCTCAGGCTCAGAGTCTGACAAAGGACTGCTTACACTAGCCTGGTCCCAAAGCACACTGCTGAATTTGTCCGAGTATGCAATTAGCTTTTCCTGTATTCCCAAGGTTCTGGAGTTCCTATCTAGGTAGGAACAGCACTCTGGTCCAACTTGGCCACATAGTGGCTACCTAACATCTCCATACCTCAGTTTTCTCCCTGTTTAAAAAAGAAAGGGCAGGGCAGGGGGCTGGAGAGACGGCTTGGCAGTTAAAAGCACTTGCTGCTCTCACAAGGGTTTGGCTTAGGTCCTCAGCACCCACATGTTCCAGATGATGGGACACCCTCTTCTGACCTCCATGGGTACTCTATTCCTGTGGTCCACAGACACACTATAGGCAAACACTGACAGACAGAAAATAAAATAAATAAACCTTTAAAAATGGGGAGCAGGAACAATTAAAATGCAAATAAAGAAAATATCCAATAAAAAAATAAATAAATAATGGGGAGAAAGGGCTGGAGAGATGGCTCAGAGGTTAAGAGCACTGACTGCTCTTTCAGAGGTCCTGAGTTCAATTCCCAGCAACCACATGGTGGCTCACAACCATCTGTAATGGGATCCGATGCTCTTCTAGTGTGTCTGAAGACAATGACAGTGTACTCATATATATACAAAATAAATAATATTTGTTTTAAAAAATGGGGAGCAGTCAGAAGTATGGTCTACCTCAGAGTACTGATGTGGGGAATGAAATAAAATAATCCGTGTAAAGTCAGTTCTCAGCCAGAGATCCAACACCCATTATTACATAGGACAAGTTAAAGTGGCAAAAATCAAACTTTGTATGTCCAGACCTCGGGCCCCAAGCCTGGGTCTTAAAGATGAATGCTCGGCTTTCTCCCTGCAGCTGCCCAGTCCGCGGCCGGATGCTCCAGGACTTGAGCAACGGGGCCTCCATATACGTGATACTGGCCTTCACTGTCTCACGATTCTTGAATAGTGACACGCTCTACTTACACGCCCAAGTGACCCTCTGTGACAAGCGAGTGGGACACCCATGCCAACCGGTAAGTAGGGTTCCTGAAGGCCAGCGATGCAGCTGGGACTGAACCAAGGGCGGTTGTGGGATTGTGTGCGGGCTCACTTTCTAGGGAGCAGGCTTTTAGGAAAGTTAAAGCCAACATTTGAAGACCTGTGTCTTGTAGATGAGGATGAGTGAACTTATTTGGGCCGTGGGCATGAGTTTTTGAGGTCCTGGGGGAAAGTCTCCAGAGCTGTCTTGTCGCCCACAGTCTTGTAGTGGGAAGAATCCCCTGAGGAGAAAATCACCCTGGGACGCTCGAGCTGAGACCCACGTGGAGCCTAGTGGTGGCAAGTGGATCGTGTTTGGACCTCTCCGAATAAGTGGTACATGGATAGACCAGGAAAGGGCATCGGATCCCCTGGAACTGGAGTCCCAGATGGTTGTGAGCCCCGGTATGGGTGCTGGATTCTCTGAAAGAGCATTCAGTACTCTTAACTACTGAGCCGTCCAGTTCCTCCAGGCTCTGCGCCTCCTTTCCTGTCCCATCAACTCAGCCTTCTCAAGCTGTCTCTCATGCCAACCTCAATTCCATCTTTTTTCTTGTCCTGGAACAATCGTTTGTTTTTCTATTTTATTAGAGTACTTTAACCCTCATTAAGAAATCCCACGCCTTTAGTAAATCAATCCAGAAATATATTCTCTGATGGACCCTTCTGAGTCCCAACCTTAAAAAACAAAACAAAACAGCCCCTTTTCCTTTTGTGCCACCCTGATGGAATGGTGGGTGAGCGTCCTGTGTGAGGGGCACTTTGAACTCAATCTCTGTTTCTGTGTGGTTGCAGAGTCCAGAGCCTCCGGCAGCAGGAACTCAGCAGGTTGGTATAAAGGTATTTCTTTAGGGAAGAAGGGTCTCATGTTACGTGGATTCTCTAGGAACTCACACAGGGTCTAGGCTGGTGCTGATCTTGGATACTGTTTCTCCTCTGAGCTATGTGACCACCTTGTTAAACCTCCTGAGTCTCATGTACATGAGTCTCATGCAGTACATGGCAGAGTTAATAATGAAGCTGTTGCCTTATCCTGCCTCAAAATCTGATACTACCCAGAAATGACTCAGAGTTAGGGGTTGAAGGTTTAAAATGCACAGGGGACAGTGGAGCATGCTGGAACCCAGAAGTTTAGTACCAGCTTGTGCAAGATAGTGAGACCCTACTTGACATAAAAGCCAGGTACAGAGGTTTACCCTGTGATTCCAGCACTTAGGAGTTACAGGCTGGAGAATTAAATGTTCAAAGCTAGCCTTGGCTACAGAGTAAATTTGAGGCCAGGCTGGACTATGTGTCTTAAGGCAAAAGAAAAGAAGAAAGGAAACAGAGCAAGACAAAACAGTGTACACAATCACACTCCAAACTGAGGTTGCTTAGTGGAGAGGTGCTTGCTGCTAAGTTTGATTATGTTCTATCCCTGGGAACCATGTGTGGTGGGAGAGAACCAGGAAAAGATGTCCTCTGACCTCCACATGGACACCATGACTTGCATGTACTAAATAAATAAATAAATAAATAAATAAATGTAATAAAAAGTTAAAACTCTCCCAGACTCTGAAACCTCCTCGAATCCCATTTTTAAAATATTTAATTTTAAATTATGCATATATGTGTGTGTACCCTATGCACATGAGTGCTGGCACTCAGGGACGCCAGAGGTGTCAGATTGCCCTGGAACCTAAGTTACAGATTTTTGTGACCTGTCTCATGTGGGTGCTGGGAACTAAGCTGAAGTCCTCTGCAAGAGCAGTCAGTGCTCTTAACTGCTGAGCCATCTCTCCATCCCCTTTAAAACTAATTTACAACCATTTCTTTCTTTCCTCCAGGAGCCTGGAAATCCATCTTTCTCCTGATCATGATTGGCTGGATGCTGGAATAAAATCTGACCCATTCTCCTGACTCCAATCCTAGAGTTTAGTGTCTAGTTTATTTGTGGAGACAAGGGTGGAGTGGGGGAAGGGTTGAGTCAAGGCAAGTAGTGTGGGCTCTGATAGGTGCCAGAGAAGCTGCGCATAGACCAGTTTGTAACTCAATCCTGTGGGGAAGGTGGATGCTGCACAATGGCCTGTTTGCTCTTCAACCCTTCTCTAACTGGGACTCTTGGGGGAGGGTGTGTGATTACAGTGCTCAATATGATGGGGGAAGAGTAGAGGATTTGTTGTCAATAAACACAGGGAATTCTACATTTTCTGATTCCTGTCAGTATAATGTGAACAGAATGATTCAGTGTTTCAGGTCAATGGTCTGAAGGATTGGAGATGGGAGAGAGAGAGAGAGAGAGAGAGAGAGAGAGAGAGAGAGAGAAAGAGAGAATGTGTGAAAATCACTTTATTCTCTCTATGGAGCTTCATCTCCACATATGTAAAATGAAAGTTTTGACCAGATGACCTCTGCTTCTATATGGGACTCATTCCCAGGAAGCCCTTGGGCCTTGATCAGCTGACCCTACTGTTTGTCTGTCTCTTTCTTTCTCTCTTTCTTTCTTTCCTGCAAAATGACCAAAACTCTTCAGTTCCAGAATGAGAGTTAAATGCATGTATATAATATTGCCCAAGCCTTTTCATCCTTTTCCTTGGTTATTCCAGGCTTCATCAGGTCCCCTTTCCTAGTCGAAGGTTGAGGATGGATGCAGCAACAGTGTTTGTGCTGTAATCGTTTATCCATCCCAAACCAGATCGATTACATCCCTGGGACCATGTTATACCCTGGAGATTCAACAGTTCACAAGGCAATCTTAGACAAACTTAAGGACAGGGTGAATGAGCGCTGGAAGAAGACTGTGGCCTAGGAAATGGGGCAGGTGTTAGGTGTCAGCAGGCAAGCCACACAGGCTGATGTGAGGAGACCGAGGCTGGAGGATTATTCTGGGTCTGAGGCCAGCTGGGTTATATATATCAAGACCCTGTCTCAAACAAATAAACAAACATATAGGCAAAATACTACAAAGGGTTTGGCTCAGCAGTAGAGCATTGGCATAGCATATACAGTACCTTGAGCTTGATTCTTAAAACCACAGTAAACAAGCTCAAACAACCCCCACACATACGTACGCCAAGAAAACAATCAGAGAACAGAAGCTAAATTCGGTGGTGCATACCTGAAGTCACTGTGCTGGAGAACTGGAGTCGAGAAGATCAGGAGTTGAAAGTCATCTGGAGGTCGCTCAGCTTTGTAGTGAGTTTGCCAGCCTGAGTTTCACATAACCTTGTCCAAACAAATGGCAAACTCAAGGAATACTGACAACTGATTAAAAAAAGAAAAGAAGATGTCACCCAAGTTTAGCTTGGGGAACCAACAAATTTCTTGGGGTTACCCATAGGAGCATAGGTGAAGGATTACTTCCAGGGGCTTAGCTGACTCAAAGGAAGATGCATCAGCAAAAGGCCCTCCCTGGCATAGGTGAAACCACAAAGATGACATCCCTGGAGCTGCCTGCCCAAAACTCAGCTGCACCAAAACCTCTTCCCCAGTGACTGTTGCCCATATAACCTTGGGAGGACCCTGTGAGTGTTGGAAGTTTCTTCAGCACCCTGAATCTTGACATTTTTCGTAGCTTTCTTAGGATTGTTTCTCTTCCCTCCAGGATAGAGTGTTTCAGTTGGAGGAAGTCGCTATAGAACAGTAAACAGCGGAATAAAAATTCAATGTATGGACCTGGGTTTGATGGTGTTCATCTTTAGTCCCAGACCTTGGGAAGCATGAATATGCAGAGCACTATGACTTAGGGACCAGGCTGGTTCACACAGTGAGTTCTGAGACCTTGTCTCAAAAAAAATATACAAAAAGAGATGGGTAGGTGGCTGGAGAGAGATTTTAGCAATTAAGAGCACTTGTTGCTCTTGCAGAGGACCCCGGTTTGATTCCTAGCACCCATATGGCAGCTCACAATAGTCTGTAACTCCAGCTTTAGGAGATCTAATGCCCTCTTCTGGCCTCACTGGGCACTGCATGCTTGTGGTACACTTAACTTTTTAATTAATTATTTTTTATTTTATGTATATAGATGTTTTATCTGCATGTACATCTAAGTTAAATTCAGCAGTCTTTTTTTCTATTTATTTGAGAATAAGCACATGTGTGCCTAATGCATGCTCATGGTCATGTTTGCCATAGGACACTCTGATGGTTTGAATAAGAATGGCCCCCATAGATTCAGGTGTTTAAATGTTTGGCCCATAGGAAGTGGCACTATTAGGAGGTGTGGCCTTGGAGTAGGTGTGGCCTTGTTGGAGGAAGTGTGTAACTATGAAGGCAGGCTTCGAGGTTTCTCCTATGCTCAAGGTATGCCAGTGTGACACACAGTGGTCTGCAATCTGCAGATCAAGATGTAGGACTCTCAGCTCCTTCTCCAGCACCATGTCTGCCTGCAGGTTGCCATGCTTCCCACCATGATGATAATGGACTGAACTTCAGAAACTGTAAGGCAGCCCCAATTAGATGTTTTCCTCTGTAAGAGTTGCCTTGGACATGGCGTCCCTTCACAGCAATGAAACTAAGACAGACAGCATATAGAGGTTAGAGGATAAATACGTGGAGTCAATTATCTCCTGCTGTTGTGTGGGTCCCAGGGATCGAATCTGCTGTCAGTCTGCACAGCAAATGCTTTACCCACTGAGCCATCTTGACACTCCTTTCAGGTCTTTCTGAAACAGGGTTTTGTTATATGGATCAGGCTGTGCTTGAACTTGCTATGCTGCTGTCGGCTTTGAGTGCTGAGACTGCAGGCATGAACCCCTGCGTTCTACTCTTCCTATCTTATTTGGTTAAATGAGAAAGTTATATTTAACCAACTCTTAACATTTAATAAAAATGATATGTATGAATATTCTTTGTTTTTAAACAGGTTCTCCTGATGTAGCTTTGGCTGTGCTGGAATTTGTTATATAGACGAAGCTCTCCTCAAAACGCACAGAGATCCACTTGCCTCTGACTCAAGAGTGCTGGGATTAAAGGTATGTGTCACCATGCTTAGCTGGGTATTTGTGTTTTGCCTGTATGTATGTAAACCTACTACTTGTGTGCTTGGTGCCCATAGGGGCCAGGAAAGGGTATTGTGTCCCCTGGAATTGGAGCTGTTGAATGGTTGAACACGGTTGAGAGATACTAAGTAGTGCTTGGAATCAAACCCCAGTCCAAGAGCAAGTGCTCTTAACCACTGAGCCATCTCTCCAGCCCCAAATCTAGTCTTTTTTTACTTTTAATCATGCTGGTTGGTATACTTCCATTGATATATTTCATTAAATATGCAGCACATCTTTTTAAAATAATAAAGCAAGCCAGGTGATGGTGGCACAGGTCTTTAATCCTAGCACTCAGGAGGTAGATACAAGCAGATCTCTGTGAGTTCAAGGCCCACCTGCTCTACAGAATGAGTTCCAGAACAGCCAGGTCTACCAAAAATAAATAAAGAATAATAAATTAACTTTAGCATTTGGAAGGTAGGAACAGGAAGATCATGGAGGGGGTTCAAGGTTTGCTTGAATTACAAAGTAAATTTAAGGATAACTTGGTTTACACAAAATTCTGAGTAGACAAACAATGAAAGTAACTGAAGATTTATGTATACTTAAGAATTATGGGGTGGACTGGAGAGATGGCTTAGCAGTTAAGAGCACTTTTCAGCTCTTCCAGAGGTCCTGAGTTCAATCTCCAGCAACCACATGGTGGCTCACAACCACATGGGATCCAATGCCCTCTTCTGGCATGCAGGTGTACATGCAAATAGAGCACTCATACAAAAATAAATAAATCTTTTTTTTAAAAAAATGTATGATTGCTTTTGAAATGGGAACCCAAAGACTATTGAAATGTGAGAACTCATTTTCACATGAAAATTATCACATGACGGAGTTACTTTCAAATTACAGAGGGAAATTGAGCCAGGCATATCTGGTCACACCCGGAAGCTCAGCGTCTGGCGAGTAGATGCAGAAGTGGATGCAGAAGGATTAGTTCAAAGTTGACCTTGGCTGTAAAGCAAGTTCCAGGCTAGCCGGGACTCGATGAAACCCAGTCTCAAAATATAAACGAGGGGAAGTTGAGGGCAATTGCTCTTCTGTCATGAGAACTGGTCAGATCTCAGCACCCATAATAGGTGCTCACAAAATCTCCAAGGGATCCAGTGCCTTATGGCCTCTGAGGGTACCAACTTGTTACTCTCCAGTGCTTTAAATTGTATTTTTATCATTTAATTGTATTTATCATATTTAGAGATGATGGTTTTGAGCGGTGAGCGGCCAGACATAGATGCTGGAAACCGAACATGCAACCCTTGAAAGAGCAGCAGCGATAGCTCTGATAGCATTTAACCGCTGAGCCAGCTCTCCAGCCCCTCATCAACTCTTAATTCTAATAGTGACCCCTGAGTAGACAGTGACCCTGGCAGGTCACAGGCGCAATCTGACTTCCTGGTTCCGGAGGGAGGGGGACCGAAGTAGGTTGGGCGGGATTCCCTAAAGCCCGGTCACAACCAGGCAGGCCACCTTAAGCCTCGCGGACACAGCGCCACCTAGTGGTGGAATCCGGTATGGTGCGAGGAGACCGAGCTAAGTAGCCGCTGTGTCATGCGCAGAGCGACGCACCGGTCCGGCGCCTCCTGCGCAGTGATCCACCCGCCCACGGCCCAGGACAGTAAAGGGGCGGGACACGAGAGCGGCCTGAATCTCCATTGGTCAATTGTAGGCAAAAGGAGGCGGGGTAGCCACTAGCCTTGACTTTCTATTGGCCAGGGGCAAGCAGAGAGAGGCGGAGCCGGGCGGCGCGCGCTCCAGGGCGTGCGGCTTGACGGGCGTGGAACGGCCGTTAGGCGACCTGAGGAGCGGATTCGCGGCTCGTGCGGACGTGGTGACCGCCGTCGGTATCCCAGAGTGAGGGAGGTCG